TCTGTATGTCAAATTTAAACCTATTTAAAATTGACTTATTGGTTTAGCTTGCACCTGTAACCAATATAACCTGCTTGAAGTCCATGTGAAAGTGCCCACACAGGGATTTGTACTGGCTTGACATTTTAATATTAGTTAAACCCCTGTAGCTTGTAGGTGTGGACCTCCCCTTAGTAGCCTCCAGCAGTAAAAGTGATGTCTTTTAGTTTTACTAACGACAGTAGCCAGCATTTAAAACTTGGCTTCATGCTGCCCACCCTGCTCACACCATTTGTTTCTTTTGCATAAGACCACAAGTTTGCTGGCAGGGTGTCCTGTTTCTTCTGAAAACTAATGCATTACTCCTGACCACATCTGTCTCAAGAGCTCACAGTTTACACACTTGTTTTAAGTAATCTATCAAGACAGTCCACCATGTCAAGACTTCCAAACTTTTGAACACAAAATGCAATTACACTGTACAAGAGTATTAAGGAAAGCCATCTGCTCAGAGTAACTGTGCATGCATGTCAGTTGGGGTGATGGTAGGACTTGCAAGGGGTGCCATGTTTTGTAATTTCATCCATGACAAACTTCTAACCTCTGAACACAACACTGCCGATGTTCCTGTTTTCCTCCTAAGTAGGAAGTATGCATCCCATAACAGAAATATTCCATGAAATAAAGCATAACATGCTTGATAGCATGACTTGGTTCATAGGAACAATATTATGGCTGTAACTATTGCCTAAATGAAAGGGGACCCTTAGACAAAGCTGTAGGCTTTGAAGGAGTACTAAGGTCTGTATCAATCATATTTCTGCTGTTGTAGTCTTTGCCCATCCCTGACTATCACCTTGAAAGCCCTTCCCAGGTGGCAGGTTACCAGCAAGACTTGCAGCAGAGACTATAATTTCAAGTGGCCTGATTAAGACATGAGAATGGGTGGCTACGGAGTATTGTATGCTTCCTGTGTCCTTAATAGCCTCATTTAATCCCAGTAAATCCAGTAGGATATATAATCCCATTATAAGGCAAAAATTTGATTTTTTTTTAGTTTCATTGTAGTGTGCAATCACTCCCTGACTCATTGAGTGAGCTCTGTTTTTCTTATCCAGCTTTCTTGAATCCTTCTGAAACAGCTGGATGGCAATGAGATGTTTTAGAGTCACACTGGAAAGCAGCTGCGAGCAGAGATTCTCTACATTATCTTTATTTGGAAGTCCGACTGCACCTTTGGCTCTCAGTTGTTTAATAATAGACACATATTTCAAAAGTTTTCAATTCTTTACATATAGAAAAACTGTCATTAATTTATTTTTAATTTTTGTGCTTTTCTTGCATTGAACCATTGGCAGAATATTATTTGTTTAATTTATGTAGATGAAATTTATAGTTGGATTTTACTCATCCATCTCTACAAGTGATGGTGTCATTGGATACCATTGTGGCATGATATAGACAATTCACTTATTGTTCCAGTAGAACAGCAGTGCTTAATCACACAAATAATGATGTAATGGTTGTGGTTGTTGGAGTCTGCAGTCAAGAGATGTGATATCAGGTTTTGGCTCAGCTGTGGACATGTAGCTTAGACCCAGTCAGCCAGTTCTTCATCTAGTGGAAATATATTGTTCTTCTTTTAGAAGCATTATAAGAAAAATGCTCTGACTTTTAGGGGTCAGATAGGCTGTTTGGGAGGACAGTACTGTCAGGATCTAGGTATCTGCTAGTTATTGTCATATAATTTTTTTTTAAAAAAGCAAAACCAAAAGCACACCTGCAGTTTGACACAGGGCACTACTTGTTAATTACTATAAGGCTGCATTTATACTGTTGTCAGCAGAAGACAGAGATGACACTCTCCTATGTTATATATTAGAGAGTATGGGAATATTAACAAAACTGAAAAGTCAGATCAAATTTCTTCCACTCCTACATTTCATGCTCAGCAATTTTCAAGGAATAGACAGGAAATGCAATAGCTTTTCTCCATTTTATTTTTTGAAAAGTTGACTAAAAAGTATTTTGAAATGGATGATTATTTTATTTTTGTCCTCTTGATAAAAAACCAAAACCTAAGTCAGATGAATTTGGAAGAGCTAGATAGTTGGCTCTTTGAAAATCTCACCAGGAGTTTAAGCACTTAGAGAAGGATTTCGGGATAGTCAAAAAGGACAAACATGCCCAAAGTGGGATTCTAGCACGTTAGGTGCCAAAGTACAAAGTTGTGATCTTGATAAACAATGCTCGGCTGCTGGCTAACTCTCAAAGTAAGTAATCCAAGCAAATGCTCTACTTACTTTTTTTCACTTTAAACACATAAACAGTCTTGGGAAGAAAGACTGAACATAATTTAACCATGGTTTGTGTGGCCTGAACAGCAGGTTAGAGAGCCACGTATCTCCCTGTATTCTTTGGTCCACTTCAGACAGCTTTGGATTTTGCATGATAGCCCAGTTCTAGCAGGAAGAGTTGAGGCTGCCCAGCCTAACCCCAGAGCTAACTGTTAGGATGGCTACTGCTGCAATGCAAACATGTGTTCAAAGCCAAGGTCCACTGTGTACCCACCTACCCTTTTTTCTCAGGTGAGTACTCTGACTGCTTACTGTTGTGTGAAAGGATTAGTTTCCCCTCGATTCATTACAAGTAGGACCTCTGTGTGATTCCTGGAAAAACATGTTCCTTCAAGAGGGGGTTCTGCACCACCAAATTAAGAGGAAAATGCTTTCTTTTGGCTAAGAGGAACAACCAGGATTTAATGCTTGCACCTCTCTGCTCAAGCTTCTGGTTAGCTGACTTGGACTGCAGCATTGTTCAGTGAGTTGTGCTTATGTCCTCCAGGGTCCTTCTCTCAGCTTCAGGGAAAAGAGTGCCCTGTCTAAATCCATTGTTTGATGGGACCAGAAAGAACCTGGCTGTAGGAATGCATCTAAAAATAATAGTATAGAATTATAGAATCATTTAGTTTGGAAAAGACAACTTTAAGATCATCAAATCCAACCATTAACCCAGCACTGCCAAGTCCACTACTAAACCATGTCCTAAGTGTCACATCTACACATCTCTTAAATAATGCCAGGGATGGTTATTCAACCACTTCCCTAGGCAGCCTGTTCCAATGCTTGACCACCCTTTCAGTGAAGAAGTGTTTCCTAATATCCAATCTAAATCTCCCCTGGTGAAACTTGAGATCATTTCTGCTCATTCCATTGCTTGTTACCTGGGAGAAGAGGCAGCCCCCACCCTGCTAGAACCTCCTTTCAGGTAGTTGTAGAGAGCGACAAGATCTCTCCTTAGCCTCCCTTTTTCCAGACTAAACAACCCCTGCTCTCTCAGCTGCCCTTCATAAGACTTGCATCTTTTGCTGGATGGTGTATTTTGAAGGTCTTCCAAGCAAAACACTGCAGCATTCTTAGAGCAGCCCCAGCACTGCAGGATCCTGAAACTGTGTCTATAGAAAAGTATCCAATGCAGGACACTTTTTGAGGTGCTGGGATGCAGTGCACTGTGCTGCTAGAGCACCCCTGACCAGGCAGTGATCTCCTAAGTGGATCTGAGATGCAGGTGGGACTTAGGATAGGCCAGCAATGAGCAGCTTCGTACGCCAATTTTGCGTGAGAGGTTAAGGGACTTCACTGAAGGACCTTTAGGCCAACCTCTACTAGTTGGCAGCAAGTCTGGGCATAGTCAGTTCAGCAGTGCACACCTACCCTGAATGAGCAGCAATTTATCCTCTCATTGGGAGGTGGGAGTTGTGTCAGGATATGTTGAACCTGCCTTTTGCCGAAGGAGGAGCATTCCGGGGTGTGAGCTGCCTGGCTGATATGGCATCAACTACAGCAGCAAATCTGCCACAACATGGTGTCCCTTGGGTGGCTAGACCACAGCAATGTTTGCTGGATTGAAAGCTGACAGAGACCTAGCTCAGAGTGCTCCGTTCTCATTTAACGGTGGCCTTTGGGCAAGGGGCAAGGGGTAAGGGGTGGGTTAGTAAAAAGGGTGAAGGATGCAAGTCCTACAAGGACTGAGTTTCCAGTAAGAGGTCTGTGATATGGTGGGTTTGAAAAACATGATATTTGTGGGTGAATTGAAGCAGGTTCATTAGTGCTTTGCAGGACCAACATTAAAATGTTAATGTTACAGGCAACAACTTCTGAAGATAAATTTCCCAAATTCCTCTATTTTTCACTTCAAGGACTCTTTTTTGTTCTACTCGTCTTTTTCTCCTCTAGAAGTTGCCGGACCTACTTTGTTATTATTTGTCATGTTTCAAGCTGTTGTTATGGCTAGACAGTAGTGGGGCTTAGTCACAGATAGACAATAAAATACTGATTTCTCCTCTTCTTTAAATACAACTGTAAAATTATTTCTCTAAACTTGGGACAGAGTATTTTGTGCATTTTCAGGTAAATGGACTCTTGATATTTAAATTTATAGTAGATGTATATTAAAACTTAGAACTTTCTGTATGTGTTGAGCTTTCTGTGACCGTTCAACTACTGTGGGAAGATTTATTTTAAAAAGCTGAAGGGGCTGATATTAAGGTCCTTTGAAAAATTGCCTCTTAGTTTAATGTTTGCTATGAACATCATTAAACACTTTGTGCAATCTGTGCCAATTAAGACCATTAGCATTACCATGAACCCGTAACCTTAGAGGGGAAAAATAGTTATGCTTAAAAACATAAAAGCAGGGTTATTAACAAAAAGTGACTTATCAAGTGTAAACAGAACGACTTGAACAAAATGTGCGTCATTGGACATGCATGCCCTCATTTGCCATCTGGTTTCTGTTTTATGATCCTAGCTATGGATTTATTTTGTGCTAGTGGACAAACAAGTGGACAACACTCAGAAACACAAGCTGGAATGTAAGGAAAGCTTATGGCAATCTTTCACACGTTCTGTATCGTGTGGGGAAAGAGCAGTTTCTAGAAAAGATGAGCTGAACTGTAAATATTGTGTCCTGATAAGTCTGCTGTATAGTCATATAATTATGATTTCTTTTCCTTTCTTCAGATTTTCACTGAAGTCCAGCTAAGAATGCAACCAGCAAACTAAAGTGAAAGAGCTGGGCATCTGAAGAAGCATCCTTCTACTTGGTGAAAATGTCTCTTATTTTTTGACAGTGATTAAAGGACAATGGGGTCAAACACACTTGGGAAGGCTGCAACATTAGATGAGCTTTTGAACACTTGTATTGAAATGTTTGGTATGCTTTTTCAATATTTTACTTTGTTGTTCTTGAAATTAATATTATAATATAAGTCCTGCTGGTCTCTGATTTAGCCAGTCTTTCTCTTGGCAAACAACATTTCTGTTCTGTAAAATTTTCCATGTTTCAATTTGGCCCAGAATCACAGAGCCAGAATTTTAATCACACACATACTGTATTCCATACTCTTAATACAGATAATGCACAGTGGTGGGTATGGTGGTTTTTAAAACACTGGCCTTCACCAACAGAAATGTTTAGTTGAATTACTCAAGGTGTTGTTTCTGGCATTGATCTTTGTCTTGAGTGGTTACACAGCTGTGTTTCTAACCAGTCGGTTTTTTCAAGCTTTTCCAAATCATCATGCAATAATTGGCAAGAATATGACTTAAGGTTCATGTAATCTTTTTTACTCTTACTAAAATGTGATGTACCAGGTCTGAGGGAAAGTAGTGATGAAAAAAACCTTGATCTATAGCACCATTAATCATGACATATATCACATGGCAGTCAGATGAGTTCATGGATGAGCTTAAATGCTTTGAAATGAGGTTTTAATTCACAAATAAATATTTACATTCTCTTTAGGTGTAGGACAGGTTTTGATTGGAGGGAGGGGTTTTTTCCTGTATGGAGAGAAACAAGTACCTAAAGGTGAGAGAGACTAAATAATTGAGGGATGGACAGATTTTGCTATGAACTGCAGTGAATCCCCCTATGTCCATTTCTGTAGACCACCATCAGACTTGTTCTGGAACTTAATTAAAGTATTAACAGAGTGCATACACCTAATGCCTGTTAGAAATAGTGTCTCATCTCGTATACACACTCTGTTGGCATGTATAGTCCATGTGTGGTTCCTGTTTCATACATCATATCATCTACTGTCTTCTAAAAGAGTGACAGACAATGATCTACAATTGCAGATGCTGGGGAAGACTGATGGCCAGCCAGCCTGCCCAGGAATAACTCTTTGTGTAGTTTCAGTGGCTACATGGCAAAGACACAAGAGTCTCTGTAAGGCAGCTGGAGATAGGACCCTGGGCACAGATATGAGGTGCTGCTTCGACATTGAATTCCTTGAAGTAGATCCTTTTTAACGATTTAGTTGTTATTTTAAAGCAATAAAGCTGTAATAAAACAAATTTTGGAAGTGGTTGTACATAAATCATCTGCCCACCCTTTTGGTGAACTAATTTTGGATTTATTCTTTGGATTACTGGCAGTGTGTTTGAATAATTTCTAGCACAGTGCTGTCCATGCCCTATTTTATTAGCTATGGCCAGTTATCTACACTGGTTTGGGTTTTTGCTCTCTATTTGAATAACGATCACTATATTTTAGCAATAGTTGTCATTAAAGGACCATTTTTGTGCTTTGGTTGTTTTTTCCTACCTCTTTGGTAGATAGCAAGCCAACATTTCCACTTTTGACCCTTTCTAGCTGATTCTGCTTGAAGAATAAAAGCTTCCCTCTGTTCAGGAATAATGTGGTTAACTCACTGTTTCTCTTTTGCAGATGACAAAGGAAATCAGTGCTCCAGCCATTTGCCAAGAACCTTTCTTTTAATGCATCGGTGGTATCTGCCTTCCACAGAGCTGGCTGGCAAACTTCTGTCCACATATCCTTTTGCCAAGTGTCACAAATCAGCATTACAGCATCAAAAGCAGATTGTTTCTGTTACTGCATGTAAAAATGCATCAATTAATTAGTGACAAACAAGATTTGGAGGTGAATCTTTTTTCCACATAGAAGATGGAAATCTGTGAGCTTCTTTATGCTCCCACTTGTGGTTTCCATATGTGCAGGGATACTGATGCATGCATTGTATTAACTTTGAATAACTGCAAATGTGGCCAAGATGACTTCAAATGCATCACAGCAGGCTGGCCTTGAGTACTATGAGCTTTCAGTGGTATGGAAGCACCTACATGTCATTTATACCTCTTAATTCAGTAATATCATGCCAGAGCTGGCAAGAAACCTTTCAGCAGAATATTCAGAATAGTAGAATAGAAACATTTTTGCTAGGGGAAAAAAAGGTGGCAGCCAGGAAACAGCCTTTGTCCCCTAAAATGCTGTAAAAGTGAATGAAATATCAGAGCATACTGTGGTTAACTCTAGAAGAAAAGTCTGATACTGGTTTTAATTCGGCTGGTCTAGTGTCAGTCTCCAGTGATTAAAAACAACATTACTGAATGAAGGCACACAAATCATTCTTTAACTAGCATACATATAGAGATGCCAATGGGGAGAACTGCAATGAATTCAGATTGAAAATCTGCTACTTCATGAGGTAAGCATGCTTCTGGTCCTCTAGCAGTTGGGTTTTATGCTTCTGTTGATACTATCAATGTAATTTGGTTTGATTGGGTTTTTTAACTTGATCTCTGGCCTGCAGTGAAGAGTGAATTTCTGTGCATTGAAAGCAAGTAAGTTGAGCCATTCTACTTTTAAGACACTTAACTGCATTGAGATGAAATGCTGACTGAAAACTTGCGCTGTGATTTACCTGGCACATGACTGTGACATCTCTTAGAGGGAGACTCGTTCAGTGCCACACAGGGAAAAGACACATTTTACTTCCAAATGTAATCTAGTGTGGGAGAAGAAGATTGTCTCTGGGCTGTTGACTTCAGCTCACACAATCCCTGCATAATTTATGACAACAGGAGCGTGTTAGTGATGCCAAAGCTATTACAGGTCGGGTATGTTCTGCACCTTGTGCTGATTGCTCTGGCCTTGTTTCTATCTATGGGAAAGCTTTCATGTGTTAGGCTCTTCTTGTGTAGGAACATTTCTCTGTAAAAGAGAAAGCATGAATTTTTAAGTTAGCATGATAAAACCCACTTCCCTTAAACAAGTGGTTTATCCTCCTTCCTCTGGACCATTATATCACTGAGAAGAAAGATGAGGGGGGTTGCTGAAAACAGGACTGATAAAGCCTTTTTCACATCTCCTTAAAGAGCAGAGGAGACTTACATGGCTTACATGTAAGCTTACATGGCTAACATCTGGTTAACATGGTTATCGTGGTAGAACTGCCACTCAAATTCACGTATGCATTTTCATTGAAAAATCTTTTCTGGGCAGGCAAAGTGTCTCACCTGGACAAGGGCTAATTGTAAGTGTTATTTGGGTATCTTGACAGCCTGAGCCTTTTTTGCATGTCACCTGAGGCATCGCTTTAATTTTGCATTTCAATAGAATGCTCTGACAGCCTGAGCCTTTTGTGCATGTCACCTGAGGCATCACTTTAATTTTGCATTTCAATAGAATGCTGCTTGGTTGTGCTGTGGTGAATTAAGCAAAAGAAATTATAAGATAAAGTGACTTTGGCTACTTCATCATCACAGATAATTACAGAAGCAACAGACTGAGGTAGTCCACCCTCTCTGCCCAAAGACCAGTGGGTCTGAAAAAGGTCCTATTAAATAAAGTGCATATACATGTATGCAGCCACTGAATGTTATGTCTGAGTCCCTGGACATCTCTTAACTGCTGTCTGTGGATTTCAGATACTGGATTTTGGAATTTCCTGCGGAGTTTAACTTGGATCTTGGGCTGATTCGTTTGACAGAAGAGTTTCGAGAAGTAGCCAGCCAGCTTGGATATGAGGATCACATCCATCTTATTGATATCTCCAGCATGTAAGGATGTCATGAGCTGCATCATCTTTGTCTCTGTAACAGCAGAATTCTAGTTCTGTACAAAATACAAAGATGTTAAAGGCCATCTTGATCCTGACAGAGCAAAAGAGCAGTGCCAAAAAGATTATATTGTCTTCGAATTTAAAGCTAAAATTTGAAGTTCTACTTATAGTTTCACTGTAAAAAGAGGATTCTTATTTGTATGTCAACTTTTTCATACAAACAGGAAATAAATCTTTTTCCTGACAAAGATAGTGTCAATTAGGTGATGAATATTACTTTTTTCTATTATTTTTCATACAGAATAACAAGCAATGCAGTGACTGGCATGCTATATAAATCTTAGGTTTTCTCAGGAAAGCTTTACTGTTCTCTCATCGTTAACCTGTTAATTTTTTTAATGGCTTTCTGTGTACTTCTTTTCTTTTTTTAAAAAATTTAGCATTCACATATGTAGCTGTATTTTATTTATTTAAATTTAGCATTCACATATGTAGCTGTATTGCATCACAATGATTACACTTCTGCTTCCTTGACATACTGAAATGAAATTTACATTCTAAACATCCCCAGATGGGTTCTTGTATCTCATCTGATACTGTGGATTTTCTTTTAAAATATAGCACACGCATAGTGATGTTTCTTTATTTAAGAATGGCATTGTAACCTGAAAGGACAATACTAGAGAGGTATTAGGTGCCCCAACCCTGTCAGTGTTCAGAGCCAGGTTGGATGAAGCCTTGAGCAACCTGGTCTAGTGGGGAGGTGTCCCTGCTCACAGCAGGGGGTTGGGACTAGATGGGCTGTAAGGTCCATTCCAACCCCTAAAATTCTATAATTCTAAGACTCTACACTACTAAGCTCAATGAAGGTTGCAAGACTTCCTTCAAGAACAGTTCCAGTGTGATCACGTGAATATTGCCTCTTATATCTACATTTTAAAATATTAGCCCATTTAACCTTAAAATCTTAACCATTTTAAATTGTAACCTCTTTCTGCTCTCTGAAGTGCTTTTACTGTATTGGAATTATTCCATTCCTTGCAAGCAAATTATCTGCCTTTTTCCACCTTCTGTTGTTCTGTTATTTCAGGCACTTGTGGTCTTAGAGTAAAAATTAATCCTTGATGTTATTCAAGTGTATTTTTATTCTGTATCTGAATTTGGTGTGTTCTTGTATTTTCAAAGCATTTTTAATTATGGCTTCCTGTATAAAGGGGAAGAGCATGTTGCCTTTTTGTTGTGATAGAAACCTGGTAATATTTATCTTTTGCAGTAGTGCCTCTGAAACTCTTATCTTCTGTTATGCTCCTGAACAGGTCTTACTCTGAGTGTTTGTTATGTGCTGGATGTTACAGACCAGAAAGCTCGTGGTCTGTCTATTGGTAATTTTATACAATGTGTACCATCTGTGGGCTACACTCACATATACCCAAACAGAATTGAGACTTACACTTATTTTTCTGTTACAGTCCTTCCTATGATTGGATGAGAAGAGTTACACAGAGGAAGAGGATTTCCAAGAAAGGAAAAGCCTGCCTGCTGTTTGACCATCTGGAGCCCATTGAGCTAGCTGAACATCTCACTTTTCTGGAGCATAAATCTTTCAGGAGAATTTCTGTAAGAAGCCTACAACTTTGTCACTTGTAATTAGGAGCCTCTCTTTAAAGAGTGTTCACATTGCTTAACATTTGTGACTTTTTTTCCTCAACATTTCAGTAAATCTTCAGAATCCCCAGTATGATGTATGACCTTTTTTTCCTCAACATTTTAGTAAATCTTCAGAATCCCCAGTATGATGACCATAGCCATGGCTGCACCAGGACGTCCTTGGCCTTTTTCATGACTGATGCTTTTAGTGGCAGAAGTTAATTTTGTGGAAAATTCTGGATGAAAATTCTGGGTGAAAATTACCACTAAAAGCTACTGCAGCCATATGTCACAGCAATTGATTAAACTAATATTATTGTCCAAAATCTGCAGATGTTTTCTTTTTCCCTTTGAAGAAAATAGCTAATTACTTTTCAGTAAGCATAAGAGTTTTTGCAATTAATATTTTTTAAGAGGCTGAAATATATATAGTCCTTCCGTAGTCTCTGTTCAGTCCCAACCACTTCTTCAGAAACTGTCCTTTTGTCTGACAACTTCAGGTTATAAGGGATCTTAGCAGGCCTCTAGGCCAGCCCCCTGCCCAAAGCAGGGTCAGCTGTGAGACTGATCACGTTCCTCAGGGACTTAGGCAGTTCAGTCTTGAAAACCAGCAAGAACAGAGACTGCACAACTCTTCTTTCTGCCTTCTACCATATTGGCACTGAAGGAAATTCAGATACAGTTGCTTCTTTTCACACAGGAGTGTACATAAGAGGCAAAAATGGATGAAAACAAAAGTAGAAGCTAAAATAAATCAAATGAGTAAACCAAATGCCAGCGAAATGCTTGTTTCTGCTGGCAAATATCCATATCAAAGGGTCACACGATGCCACTGTATCTGGTGGCAAATGGAAGCAGTAAATTCTCAAGATGACAAATGAGACTCTTTAAGAAGTGTTTTGGATCATGAAATAAATCAATCTCAAAAACTAAGAGAAAGATATATAGTTTTTGTTTGTTTTAAAAGAGGAAGGAAAAAGAGATCAATGAGAAGCTGAGACCAGTCTAAATAGAATCACTTTTGACGTCGTTTAATAATGTTCAAAGGTTAATTACTCTAGACTTCAAATCATGGGAAAACACCCTACCGTGATCTGCGCAATGCTAACCTCAAAGAAGGAGGGAGGGACAAGAAAAAAGGCATGTATTTCTAATTAGACTTAAGATGCATTTTAATCCCTGTGGGAATTCTAGAAAGAAAACACAAATCTGCAATGAATTTTTTTTTTTGCCTTGCTGTTTCTAGTTTGTCTGTTAAATCTTCAGCTTGAATTTTACTATCTCAGATGTTTCTCTGCAAGCAGTGAGAGTTAATTAATCTTGTACTACTTGTTCTCTCAAAGCTATGTAACTGTAGAAGGTGATTAGTCTGAATTATGTCTTTGGTTTTGCATACTTTAAAAAGTATGAAGGAAAAGGAAGGGCAGTGTTAACTATACCAGAAAGCATTTAAAAGTATCTGAACACTGAAATACTGTTTATCTGCAGCTATGAGACAAGCATCTGCTGTGTTAGAGCATATGCCCTTGTATCATCTAGCAGGCTGGTTTTGATCAGCTAAGACAATGAAATCCATCTTGGCTGGCATTGCTAGCAAGTCCCTACACAAGCTAAAGTTATGTCATAAGCTCCTGAAAAATCATCTTTAGGCAAGAGCTGAAAAATGTTTTCCAAATATTTAGGGAAATTTACTGCCCGGGAGCCTATAGGGTATCATGCCTTGAGGACGTCAAGTAAAATTGCACAAAATAGAATGTTGTTTTGAGTAAATTATGAGAAAGATAATTCCACAGAAGTAGCAATCATGCTCATTGTGCAGACTTGTGTATCTTCGGACACAAAACAAGTTGTAAGTTGGCATTTAAGTAAAAACCAAACCAAAACAACAGCAGAAAGCTTTTAAGAGCTTTAACAGCTGGTGTGCAACAGGGTCTGCTGACCCTGAGTCATAGTCACTTTCTAAACCAGGGGAGCTTTAAAAAGAAAAAAAGGGATCTAAGATTCAATTTGATCCTTCAGTTGTCCACCATTTTACTGAAAATGCCTTTTCTTTGTTAGTTCACAGACTACCAAAGCTATGTGATCCATGGCTGCCTGGAGAACAATCCAACTTTGGAGAGGTCTATTGCTTTATTTAATGGTATTTCCAAATGGGTGCAGCTCATGGTTCTCAGCAAACCAACACCCCATCAAAGAGCCGAAGTAATCACAAAGTTTATCAATGTTGCACAGGTAAGTCTTGCATATGAGTCTTTTTCTTCCAGGATAAAGCAGTAATATAAGCAGAGCTTGCAGTAAACGAATTAGCTGATGCTCTTTGTGCTGTTTCCTCAGTGAATAGCCTGTTCAGTATCACTGAAGGTTATTTGTTCAGGTGTGTCATGTCTGCATTTTTTAACCAGCAGACATGACTATGCAATAACTTTTCTTTGTTGCATTCCAGTTGGAATGTTGAACTATTCTGTTATGTGCCCTGGTTTAGTGATTTCTGCTTTAGCCATGACAGGTTGTCTCCTTTAGCTTGTTGTGTGTGACACTGAATAGCTGCTACATGTGTTTCCTTAATTTTTAATTATGCATGATCGATCTCTCCTGCAGAAGCTACTTCACCTCCAGAACTTCAACACACTGATGGCAGTTGTGGGAGGTCTAAGCCACAGCTCTATTTCTCGCCTGAAAGAAACTCATTCTCATTTGTCTTCAGAAGTGACAAAGGTATGGTGGACTCCAGAATACAGACATTTTGAGCTGAGCATCACCTCTTTGAGGTCTGATGGGTTCTGCAGTGCAGGTGTCTCACCAGCACAAAACTTGGATCATGGCAGGGCAACCTGAAACATACTTTGATTGCATTCCTCTCGGTGTAGAAGGATAAGCCCAGAGAGATCCTCTGGTTGATTGCCCGTGCCAGAGAGGAAATTAATACTGCCGACATCCTGACATGAGTTGTGCTCATTTAAAACAGATTAAGGAAATGCTATGAATGCTTTCACAGAGACTTGCTTCTCTGGCTATTTGTAGGACTGGAACGAAATGACAGAGCTGGTCTCTTCCAATGGAAACTACTGCAACTACCGCAAGGCTTTTGCTGACTGTGTTGGCTTCAAAATTCCTATTTTAGGAGTCCATTTGAAAGACTTGATTGCTGTCCATGTCATTTTTCCTGATTGGATAGATGAGAACAAAGTTAACATAGTGAAAATGCAGCAGCTTTCCATCACCTTGAGTGAACTGGTTTCCCTGCAAACTGCTTCTCATCATTTAGAGCCTAATATGGACCTAATTAACCTGCTAACCGTAAGTATTGAGCATGTTTCAATTCACTGCTGTTACTCAAATTTTGAATGTCAGTAGGAATATTCATATCTTTAAAGATAAGTGCATATCACTATGCCATTTTTGAAAAAGAAAAGGGCAAGAAAACAAAACAAACAAGTTCACATGAGTTGTTAATAAAGTCAAAGAGAGTTTCACTATTGTAGTATGTGATGGCTGGAAGCAGCAACAGGACTATTATAAATTAGTTTAAGAATGACAGAAAGAGGGCTGTATTTATGTTAGGAGAAGTAAAAACTAAGTGCTGACTACTTAGAATTGAGGCTTATGTCTCCTGCATAAAGATTGGGTGACATGTTGACACGGACACACGAGTGAAATTCCAGCTTGAGCCTCGCTCCATTCTTGCCCCCCTGTGCTTTCTTGTGACACAGTACCCCTCCTATCCAGCAAATAAAAATACTCTTGAATGCTGTTAAACAGCCCCTGCAATCCCTGCTTCTTTCCCCTCTCCTTCCCCATTGTCAGTGGCTACATTTAAGGAGGTTTGAAACTTGCACACACAAGTTACAGATAAGGATTTGAATGACCCAGCTCAAACCAAGGGAAAGTGAGTTTTCAAAAAGACTGTGTAATTTTTATTTTTTTAAAGCAATGAATGTCATTTTGAAAAAATATTACACTTTAGTTCAAAACATACTGATGTGTGGAGCCTGAACCATGAGGCCAAATCCTGTTCCTATTGAAATGTAGCTATTTTAGCACCGATCTCAACTGCAGCAGTGTTTGACCCAGCACCACACTTTGTTCAGGTCATAGGCAAAACTCAGTATCTTGGAATTAAAGACAGAACCTTTGAAACTGGTTCCAAAAAAGCATACTGCTTGTTATGAAACAGTTGATCTTGCAAGCAAATAAAAGTCACCTGCTCACCTGGGAGTAGTCTGAAACATGCTGTGTTAGATGAAGGACTCCCTTAATATGTAATCAGTTTATGCTGGTTTTGTTCTCATTATTTTACTTTGTCTTTCAGATCTCTAATTCAGAAAAGAGAATCTCTTTGCTTTCCTTAAATCAGTATCACTCTTTTTAAGATAAACATAAAAATAAACAGGCCTGAGCTTGGAGCTACCAAGCTGGTGTGAATATACCTGTGACTTCATTTTAATGAGGAATGGGAAAGTTTGGGGGACTAGGAAAACATGTTCCAGTTACATCTTGCGTGGAACGATCTGGGAACAAGTCCTAATCCTGGTTAGTGGGACAGGGAAGAGAATGGACCATGTGTTGGACACTGCAACACTCCTTTAATTTAAATAATGGACTATAAAGACAGATATTTATCTTGTTTTGTTTTTGTAGGGATTCAGAGTTACTTTCTCGTGCCACTCTTCCCCTTTCTGGTCATTTCTTACAAGCCTGGCTGTGAGTAGGGGGAAGTGCAACCCCAGGCTTTAGGGAACTGAGCAATAAGAAAGTGAATCCAAAAGGGCAGAAATTAGACAATGTGAAGTGAGAGATGGAAGCTGAACTGCTGCTGCCACTTTCATTAGCTGTTCTTCTCTCTTTTTGGGGACAGCCTTCTTTCCAAAAACCTTTCCAGGGTGATTCGATCTTCATATTAGTCACCGGAACTGTAGTTGTGCATCAAGTACATTTGATAGTGTTGAAGTTTTGATTTAAGATGATGACTTCTGGAAAGGAAAAGGCCAAAATTTCTATCAGAAGCTCCTGGACCCGAATATTGGTACCTGTAACAACATGAATATTCTCATTTTTTTTCCAGACATAGGTTTTGTTCTCATCTGTGAATATGAATACAATTCTTTTTCTTACAGTAATAATGGAGTTATATAGCAGATTAAATGTTTCTGTCAATCTTTTGTTAATAAGAAACTTTTCAAATACAGGCTGGGGTCAGAGAAAGAGGAGAAGAAAAGCTAAGATTGCAGCCCAAAGCTGACAAGAACAGCCAGCTAAAAATAGTTGACCTTGCTATGTGCAAATGGTCTTCTAACAGATTTAGTCTCCCTTGCTGCCAAAGTCATCTTCAGTTTCCAGAGCCTGAAAAATTAACTGTCCTATTTTTTGCTAGGTCTTCCCTCTCTGATGTAAACTGTAAAAATCTTTCCTATGTTTACCTCATTTAGAGAAACTCCCTTTCAAATCTAGTAATGTATATAAATGTATAGAGTGCTTTTCATTTGTGTGTGAATCCGCTGACCTAACTATTTGTTCACTTCTGCTGTTTTCCCATTGAGCTGCTTCTATCTGGGCAAGATTCTAGTAGGTGTCTTGTCCTGATAAGCAATGTGTAAGCGTCTTGCCCAACCTCCCTCCCTTGTAGTGTAGCCTTTTATACCACACTTAGGAAGTGCTAACAGCCTGGCCTCTGCTTGCTTGACAAGTAAATCACTGGGTGCTGGTTTGCTAGTCCAACAACCTGCCCAAAAGGATTACATGGGTATTTCATAGGCATGTGGGAATTTGCCATTTTTGTCTTTTCCTCAGTGGTGGAGCCCTGTTTGCTCTGGGGAAGCTGATACCTTTCAAGTAGTTTGGAAATGGTGGTGTTTGGGGAGACTGTGTTAAGAGCTATGAAGTGAGAGCTTGGCTTAAAAGCTGGGGAGAAAGCTTGGTAGTAAACTTCAGGCCACCTGGTCAAGGGTCTTACAGGCATTTTTCAGATGCTATTGTGTGTATAAACCAAAAGGATGAATGGGGAACAGGAAGTCTTTGGCTTCAGTGGTAGCTGCTGAATGATCAGCAGTTTGGAGTGTTGCTCTTATCTTAGATATCTGCACACAAACTTAGAAGCATGCTTCCCCCCACCCCCCTCCACTGCACCCCATCTTGTTGTCGGGATAAAAAAATCAGCTTCTAGCTCACAAAATTTTAGCTTTGAACATGTAGCTAAAAGAAGCCAATATTTTGCATGGAAGTTAACATGCCGTTAGTAAGGCAAAGGTTTGTGTATGGACAACAGTGACAGAAACGAAAGATTTACCTGCATAGGAGACTGTGAAAGGTGAGAGGGAGCTCTAGTGATGCAAGTCATCCCTTGTCACGTGTAAATTAGCAATGTAAATGGGCAAGAGAAGCAGATGTGCCAGGACTCAACTGTCAGAGAGTCCAGTGTATGTTACACAAAGATGGACTCACTTTGTAATAATCCTTGCTCTTAGTCTGTGTGGTTATTCCCCCTTTCCTGCCTCATTGGCCATGATCTCTCCATTTCTGACATCCAAAACATGGAGCTAAGTACAAGTAGTAAAAGAGGACCTGAGCATAAGCTTGGCAGTGCACCCAAGAGGAATAACAGCTCTAATGACATTTTTGTCATTAGAGAACTTACATTTGGTAAGGATGCTTAAGGGATTTCTTTACCTGCTGTGTAGTATTTGCACATTGTTTTTATTTCACAATGTGAATAAAAGCCTGTGGGTAAACATTTCATCACTTTCTGAGGACTGGAAGTTGATCTCAGCCTCTCAACTAGACAACAGTGTATTTATACGAACTGTGTTAAAACCCATTTGGTGCCACCATTTTCCCCCCACTATTTTTAGGTCTCGACAGCTATTTATCTAACCTGTTCTGAGACTGTATGCAAATGAATGGAAAGTCCCAGTCATTTGTACAGTCTAGTGAAGAGAACGAGAAATATCTAAACAATCAAATTGAAAGTCACCCTCCCTAACTTGTGTTCAGTAAGTTCCACCTAGAAAAAAAAAAAGTCATGTATTTCTGATTACTCCCCTACTCTTTTCAATCCCCTTCCAAATTGCTTGGGAAAAAACAGGACAGGAACACAAATCGAATGAAAACTGTCACTTGCTGTAAAATTGTCCTAGGAAATTCATTACACTTTATCTGTCAGAGCAAAACTGTAAATAAAATATAAAATGAGGGCTTATATAACTGCATAGTCATTATGCTTTTTTTTTCTAATAAGTGAAACTTCTGAACCAGATAATAGCTTGTGCCCTGTGTGCTTACATATCATGCCTAATGAAGTTATAACCACTGCTTATGATAAGGTCAGATAATTCAGGGAGGGGAAGAAACAAATGCTCAGTAAATAGCAATGCATTTACACTCCCAAATCCACACCCTGCTCATCTGGCCTACTGAGAAAAGTGTACTCTTTCGTGGGAACTGTACAACACCTTTTGAACTACCAATTCTTCTCTCAGCCCCAGCCCGACCTGATAATATCATGTTCTCCAACTGAGTTCTGCTTATTTTATACCACCAAGGAACCTCAGAATACAGTTGCTGAATAACTAAGTATATGAACAGTATTTGTTACTGGCTCTACATTATCTTTAGGACAGGCCCTTGCATACCTCTGTGACAGCAGCATGCCAGGTGGGCAAAGGAAGCTGTGGGATGCTCAGCTTTTCACTGATGCCTATAACCAAATTATGAAGCACAAAATTCAGCACAGTATTACAGCTAAACAAATTGAATAACGCAATACCCTGACATCTCTAAAGCCATATGTTCGCTCTGGGAACTTATCTTGGGAAAGGGCACAACTCCTATCTTACTCATCACGCAAAATTCTGTACAGTGTTGTTGTTCCTGCATGTTACTTGCTTGGTATTTCAGGTTCTCTAAAAATAACCTTCTGTCACAGTCATTTAGACAGTATTAATTTATCTGCCTGCTCAGGAACATCCTTTTAACTCAATCATAGCTTAACTGGGGATTTGCAAGGTGGATGATAACTTCAAATCACGTCAATTACTACAAAGCCAATTAATGTAAGGACATGATCACAGGAAACATGCAGTGTTTGTTTCCTCTCATTGCAAGACATTAGCCACAGTGATGATTACTTTTTTCCTTCATCACTCCAAAAGAGGAGGAATTTACTGCAGACCTGCATCAGCAGAAGACCCCAAAGTAAAACCAAACACATTCATTCTACTTTAAGAATATTCATGCCCCTTCTTTTTTCTCAATAAATCCTCTAGAGAAAAAAATGAGAACATGGAAGAAAAATCTTTCATTTACCTAGAAATACAAGTTGAAAGGTAATTTGCCTTTGCTGAGATGCAACCAGGAGCAGGCCAAGCTGGGCCAAAGTAACTGAGATTACTCTTTATGGCACACTTCGCTGCATCAACAGAGGTGGCAAACCCAACTTGCTTCTCTCAGGCCTGTGTCAGTGCCCAGGGATTTCCAGGGAGGCTTTTGCTGCATGGGCTGATCCCAGTAGAAGAGCTGCAGTGCTGTGACCCTTCTTCAGGAACAAAATTTGACCACCGTACTTCAAAAATTTGAAGTCCTTCCAGTCCAGGCCCTCTACAGCTTCTTTCTGGACGTTTTTGTTTTCACCAGGTTGTTTCTCAGAGGTGTCTCATGACCAGTGAGCTTCTAGAAGAAAGTGTTTTCTTAAGGGTGGTCTTTAGAGCCAATGTCCTTTTTTGCATAAGTCAGCATGCAGCCCCTCTCCCTCACTGTGTTGGGATGCAGGTTGTGACAGCCCTCACATAATGCTTAGCTCAGTACAGATGTGAACAGCAGCCTGTGCTCACCAGTGTGGGTTACGTTAGCTCTGTGAAAAATTGCTTTCCCAGCAGCTGCACACAGCTTTGCTGTGTATCCTGAGCTCTGAGCAGCAAAACCTTTTTAGCTTCAGTGGGAGGTATATCTCTGTTTACAAGCCTGTCATATCCAACCCAGTGTAATAAATATTACTGTTTTTCCCTCTTTCTTACATGTAGCTGTCCCTGGACCTCTATCACACAGAAGATGATATCTACAAGCTCTCACTGGTGCTGGAACCAAGGAACTCCAAGTCTGTAGGTCATCTTTTACTGACATATTGCTTACTTTTTCTGCATGGAGTTGATAATTTTTTTAAATGACAGTTAATGTGTTTCTTTATTCACGTTCACATAAAGCTTTTTAGTGTTGTGCTTGTATAGGAAACACAGTCACTATTTTTAAGTTTTAGTGCATATGGGGAGAGGTAAATAGTGGAATATGCCAGACTTCATTATTCCTTATTTTTTAACAAAACCTCTGTAAGTCCTGGAAAACAGAGTTCTGGTTAACGTATGGATATCCTTTGTAAATTTACGTCAATTATTTATTGAGTGACTCTTAGCTTGTTTTCTGGATGCTGGTGCAGTTACATAAAACAACATGAATTCAAAGATTTGTTTGAGGTAAGCTAAATAATTAGCAGTAGTATTTTAAAACTGTTTGTTTGGGTGTAATTGGCTGTATCTTGGGGTCTCAAGCAATGTTTAAACACATTGGAATTGCTATTACTCTTTTTTTGATTATGTACAACTGAGGATAATGCTGCATTGATGCATTTTTCTTTATTTTGCAAGTCTGAGGATACAGATAAATCTCATAATTAATAGCTGATTTGCATTTAAAGTATTATTCTTTCTTCCACTACCAAAACCTGGAGACTCCTCTCCCCTCTGAGCATTTGATCAGTGTACTAACATTCTTCTTACCTATCCTATCCAGCACATGATGCTCTCAGGCTGACACCAGCAGAAACTGAGGGTGGCTGGAAATGTTTAGCAGGGTGTGAGAGCAGAGTCCAGTACTCTGAGGTGATACATTACAGTTCTTTTTAAGGTTTTGAAGTATTCTTAGAAGCAAGCAAGGAAGAAATCCCCCTTAATTTTCAAGTATAAGGCTTCTCTGAGTTTTAAGATAGTTTATCACACTTGGAGACCAGTGTGAGGACTATATATGTACTTTCAATTGTGTATGACAAGCAACAGTAAGAAAGCTAATTAATATTTCTATAGCCAACACTAGCTCAGTTTGAACACTTGGAATTTCATTACTGAGTCTCCAGTCCTTGCTGGATATGGCTTGATCACAACAGTTTGCATTTATTGCAGTCATTCTGAGTCCCTCATGCTCTCATTACTGCCAGCGAAGTCGAATTGTTGCAGCCTTAATGCGCCACTACTGTAAATGAAGAAAATTATCACATTGCTGCTTTGATCTTCAGCCTGAGCTTTAAGCAGGACAAAAGTAATATAAACAGTGCTGTGAACTTTAACAGTACACAGCAATTATAGGAGACTTCTGCATAAGGATCAATGAATAACCAGTGACATTGAGCTGTTGCAGCACCCTGATGGGTAAAAAGCTGCAGCTGAATCGACAGAAGCCAGACTATTTGAAGCATACTTCTTTTTGATGGAGTGCCAAAGCACACAAGCTATATTAGCGGGGAAAGAATCTGTAGAGCTTTTGTATGTGGAAAAATTTGTCAAAGGCAACGTGACAGTGTAGTTGTATCATTCCAACTGCTCCTCAATTTATTGTTGCATGGGTACCACTCCCATGCAGGTGCACTACAGAGGAAGTGCCTCAAGCTGCTGCAGTCATTTTCGAGGCAAAACTGGAGCTGAGCCATTAGCCTACGAGTCTGCTGATAAGAGGGACTTGAGCAAGACTTTCATTCTGCTAAAACTGAGAGAGACTCTTCAGTCAGTATAACAGCCTAAAAAAAACCCTGAAGAATGACTGCCAGCTGTAGTACAGCTTCTCCCTGTCACACTGTCCTGCTTTTCCCCACACATTAGTGATCTCCTTGTTGGGAGTTTTTACTAGTACAGCTATTGTCTAGAAAGCAACTCTGCCTGATGCAATTAAGCCACTGAAGACACACTTAGATACTATTTGTTTTGCTTTTCAGTAGAATTTATTTCAATGCCAAAGTGTTTGCATACATCTGAAAATACTTTTCCCATCTATAATATCATTATCCCTGTGCTGGTGAAATAGACAGGAGATACAGTCTGAATCACAAACGGCATGACTAAATACAGTGTTTCTGAATGTTCAATAAATTCACCTTGATAGTCTCTGGACAACTAACTGGTCAGTACCTTTCCTTATAGGATGCATTTCAACTACATAAATAAAATCATGGTTGTTCATATGAGTCTATGAGTGAAATAGAAGGAACCAACATTTCCCCTGAGCTAGTGGGCAGTAAGATGAAGTTTTCATTGCAACTTGTCAAAAAGGATAAAATTTGAATGAGGCTTCAAATGAAATATCCCCGAAGAAAGAGGAAGGCTCCAGTGGATTCAGCTCTTTCTGCCACTGTGTATTCAGACCAGCAGGTGTTAAAAGCTCTCTGTGATGACTTGGTAGTCTAGCACCACACTGACACCTTTGATATGGATGCTTTGAGTCCCTTTAGTCTAATATTTTTATTTTATGAGAAGGCATATTTTTAATTTGCTCTCTGAGCATAGCTGTAAGACTGTCACAATACTGGCATGTTACATGTTGTCACGTAACATGTCAGCATTAAAAGATTGTTGCATTTCTGCATATTTTTAAAGCAAAAGCACTTGCCAGCATGTTGGTCTATCACTGTGTGGTGATGTTAATTTTAGAATTATAACATTCTGTCAGTGCTTATGGCACATAGAGCTGAATGACCAGCTCAGTATGCCAAAATACAGGCTCACTGTATTTCTTACTGAAATTGCATTCTGTTTGATACAGCGATTTTTCCTTCCAGAACATACTTGTGCACATTTGTAGGAGTCAAAAGCCATTGAGGCACTGATAAAAGCTGTTCTAACAATTGAAAAGGGAAAAGCCATATTAATAAAGCAGCCCACTAACTCATCCTTCTCTTTTTTCCTACCAAACACAGTAGAGTATGAACTCGTGACCATTTTTCATCTTAATGGCAAAGGCTACAGTACCTTTGTTACATGCCATGATAACTGTAACACCTTTACCTGTCTTTATTATCTCAGCTCGCATCAGGTTAAAGGGAGACAGATGAGACCCACATTCTTTGCTCAGCAGGTAGCACAGGGCTCTTCTAAGACTGAACCCTCTCCATTGTGATTCAAACCATGCTGAATTTTTTCTGCTTTGACACTGCTTCACCTACTACATGTCCAGTGGCAGATGCAGGAAAAGGCCAGTATGCCTTGCAGCATTTTTCATGCTAACTGGTGATTTTTGAATCCGTACCTGAAACTGTGTTCAGGTTTGTCCTATATTTTCTACTTGAAGAAGCTGAGCTGCATGCCAGAGCTGCTCTCAAAGCACTGTAGGAACATGGAGGGGAGTGAGACTGTGAGCTCTCTGCATCAAGTGAGCTGTCAGCTACTGTTTTGTCAAGACCAATCTGTTTTCAAAACAAAATAGTCTGGCTGGTGTTATCTGCAGAGCAAGTCAAAGGTTAGCCCCTTTCTGCTCAGGCTGCCTAGATGAATTAAGCTGTTCATCCTGGCACATCTCAGCTGGAAACCAGTGGGATCGCTGAGTGCAGTTCTGTTCCCACTTCTGCATCCTGCTCTCTTCTCGGTGCTGCACAGAGCAGGAACATTAACTTATTTTGGCTGTGCAGTCCCTTGCATGGCTCCTGGGCACAGTCCCTCCAGCAGGGAGTTGGCGCTTCACTGTGCTGTGGTGGAGGGGACTTTACTGGGGGGGAGAAAAGCAGGTTTCTGGCCTTAGCTAGTACTGATGCTCGCTGTATCCAGAGACCCTCCTTCCTCCTCTCTTCCTTCAAGTTTCACTGCTGTTGAACCCTCTGGAGATGTCAGTGAGGAAAGTCTGCTTGGGTTTGCTTCTGAGCTCACTGGGTGCTGCTGCTGCCAGTGTAACTGTGGGGTGTCACAGAGAGCCCAACTGAAGCTGTTACTGGAAGCAAGCAAACCTTTAAATCCTTGCCTGATGTTTTGCTAAGCATATTTTTACAGCACAGGGACTCCAATTGTTTGTGGTTATGGCTCTGACATATAGAGCTGCTTAAAAACAATTTAAATTTGACTTCTTCAGGCTTGATAATCTTTGTGTTCTGATCCATGTCTCAGCAGCCTACCTCCCCGACAACCCCTAACAAGCCAGTAGTGCCACTGGAGTGGGCATCAGGAGTGGTACCAAAACCTGACCCCACAGTCATTAACAAGCACATACGTAAGCTGGTGGATGTAAGTATTTGGAACAGTATACTGGTCAAAGAGAATGATAGCTTTGATATTTTCATCATTATAATTAATTTCAAGCTTTTCAAGAGATTGGTATGGTTGGGGTGATTTTCAAACATCTGATAATAAATTTGAGCCATTACTGATATGTTCAGAAATATTTAGTTTATTCCTGCAATCAGCAATGTAAGTAGCTGTAAGTAAGCAGGTTTCTGGATGCAAAGGAGCAAGTTTTCAGGGGCATCCAAAGCCTGGCTGTTCTTCAATAGGTTTAACTAGCAAATCTAAATTCAGAGGGTAAAGCTGAGTTTTTGCAGCTCTAGCAGCCCAGTTCATGTCTGGTAACAGACAGCTGGAAAAAAAAAAACTACTCCAGAAACAAGGCCTCACACAATAATAGCACCAGATAAGTTTTCTGGAAACTATTTCTGGTTTTCTACTTGCTGATATTTGACTTTCCAGAGTATATTATGTATGGTAAAGCTAGCATTGTCTTGGAGTCACTTTTAAAATCACAGAATCACAGGATGGTTCTGATTGGAAGAGACCACAGTTGGTCATCTGGTTCAAGCTCCATGCTTAAGCACTGACATGAGGTCATGCAGCATTATAGCTTGGATCTTCCAGCTTCAATTTGGAAGGTGATGTGTTTTGTTAGGTAATGCAAACAAACCCAAACACTACCATGTGACTCTGGAGAGACTGAGCACTGCTGTGCTGGTGTGTAAGGGGCTTTTAGTAATGTGAGTAGCATGCTGAGGAACCAGAAATGTGTTGTAGATAGTGAAGCAGATTTCCTTCTGCTTTTTACAAATTAATAACTAAGTCTGGGAGGAACTATAAAATTCTGACCTCGTCTGTTACAGATCATTAACTGAGGTTATGTTGTTAAGATAACTTAAACAAAGTCTTCAGTTCTCTCACTCAGACATCAAATATATCTTGTAGTTTACTTTTAGTACATGCTCTTTTTTTAGAAGAGTTTCATTTTTCTTTTAATGTGGGATGCCAGAAATGCACACGCTGTTCCTGTATTGCTTTTGTCAGTGCCATATGTGTTGATAAAAATCACTCCACATCTAATCCTCTCTTTGATATCTTGTTTAAATAGGAAGTCTGTCACAACTCCTTAATCTCTCCAGAATACACTGGGTGGGGGGTTGTGCTTGTTCCTGTGGTTGGAGGAGATGTGCTCCCTCATTCCACAATTTTGGCCTGGTTCAAGGCATGTGATCTTGAGTTTGACAGGATTAAATCATGGTTTGGGGATTTTACAGATGCAGCTTATTAAAATAGAATTATATAGAATTATAGAATTTAAAGGTTGGAATAGACCTTACAGATCATCTAATCCCAAACCCCCCCTGCCATGGGCAGGGACACCTCCTCACTACATCAGGTTGCTCAGGGCCTCATCCAGCCCGGTCTTGAATACTGCCAGGATTGGGGCAGCCACCACGTCCCTGGGCAATCTGTTCCAATGTCTCACCACCCTTACAGTAAAAACCTTTTTCCTAATATCTAGCCTAAACCTTCTCTCCTTCAGTTTGAACCCATTACCTCTCAATCCTATCATTGCAGTTCCTAACAAAGAGTCCCTCTCCGGCTCCTTGTAGGCTCTTCAGATATTAAAAATTTGCTAGGCTCATACCAGTCTGCAGAGCTGTTTTGGTTTTGCCAATCTTTGTCATTTACTAGCTGTTTTGAGGTGTTTTAAGGCATTGGTTTTATTACAAAAAATGTGCTGAATACTGCTTGGGTTTGTGTTTTGATTCTCAAGGATGCATTTTTGAGGTCTGCCAGTCATTGGTTACAGGCCATTTGATAGATACTCAGCAATGGGTTTCATGAGGTTCTTGTTAAAATAAGGACAATGCAAACACCTTTCAGAGGTGTCAGTACAGTAATTTAGTGTCTTTGTCAACCAAATTTTAATCTAATAAAAGAGTTTGTACATCACTATGTGTCTTTCAGATAGTCATGTTGACTTTGACACTTGTGTTTTTCCCATCAGTTTCACACATAAATTTAACACCTGTTGCACACCTCTGCAAACAGTGGGACAGATTACAGTAATTTCTTGGCAGCCAAGGAGGGCTTCCATCACTTTATCTTACCTTTTAAATTTGATCCCATGTCTGTTTTTATTTAGTGGTGAACTGGGGTGGGTTGGTGGAAGGGAATGGTTGCTAGACACAAAGTGTTTGTCATCTGGATGTCAAAGCATTAGTAAACTAATCAGACTGAAACAGTACTGAGCAGAGGTGACAAGCTAAAGGAGAAGTGAAGACAAAACAATCTGAAATACTCATGGGAAAGCTGCTGTTGTGTTGGGTTTGGGTTATTTCTTTTTTTTTCCTTTTTTTTGGTGGTTAAGAAGTATACTTAATGAAGTGAAGGGAATATGTCATCACATGATGCAGAATTGTAGTGACATTTCCAATAAAGAAGAAAAATAAAGCAAGAATAATTATGTGTAAAGAGGTGTGGAGAACCATCACTAGATAAATACTGAGGTCAAGTTTTCTTTAAAAATTAGCCATTTTTCCCCTAGAGGCCGGTACATATTGAAATACCGAGTAGGAATGAAAGGAATAAAACAGATGCATCAGAAGCATTTGATTAGCAATGTGGAACATTAAGTTCTATGTAATTATAAACTTGAAGTGGCTGATATAGATTCAGGATAGATTAGATATTATGATAATAATTTCTTTGTTTTTTCCCAGTCTGTCTTTAGGAACTATGATCATGACCATGATGGTTATATTTCTCAGGAAGACTTCGAAAGTATAGCTGCCAACTTTCCCTTTTTGGACTCTTTCTGTGTGCTGGACAAAGATCAGTAAGTTTGGAGATTTCTTTGTGGGTTTAGTTCTTTGTACCTTTTCCTCAATTTAAAGCCAAGTATTGAAGAAACAGAGTCTCCCAAGTTTCTTGTGTCTGACAAGATCACCGAAGGCTGATTCTTGTGTTGTAGTCAGTTCTATAAGTCCACCCAGACTGGAGTCCTGCTTTACCTGGAACTTTAAAAATCATTTATGTAATAGCTTAATGAGGAATTCC